GTGCAAACGAAAACATTTGCTGAGATCGATAGGACTTTCCAGAAGGAAGGATTACTCTAGACTAGACAGTGTAGTTGGCTTAATTCTAGCACAGCTTCAGAACTCCGGTCAGCTTCATGGATACAGATGGATGTATGCTAAATGTAGAGAGTTTCTTGTGAAAAGAATGCCTAGAGTTTTGGATAGCTCTATTTGTAGACCTCCAGGACAGAGGAATCTTCGATGGAAGATTTTTGCACAAAAGCCTGCTTCAGTTTTGCTGCATGGGACTCATTCAGGTGAGATGAGTGAAAACAACATTTGCTAGGCCTATGTATGTGTGAGTAATTGTCAGGGAGAGAATAATGAGACTTACTTGCTTTACCTATAAACAATCAAGATACATATAACCCATATTAGGAAAATAGATTATTAAGAATAAGTAAACTTTTTTTTATTAAGCTGGCACCGATTTTCTGTTTGCACATGATATGAATTTGATAAAATGTGTGTTTGGTTTTGTGCATATTTATTTATATTATAAGGGATGTTATTACTTTTTGCATCACTTAAGTTTTAACTGTAGTTGTCTGATCTGTATTCTCTGTATTTTCTAAAACCTTTTTCTAGGATGAGTTGGATGACACTGCATAATAGTGGGATTCTGGCCATCAAAGAATGACAGTGTTCCAAGTGGCCGGCCAAATGCAATGTATGCCTTGCCAGAGCTGTACAGAACCAGAGACATTCTCACATCAGTTGAAGTTGATGACATGAATACATGCAAAACTGAATACACCTTTCGGCAGTCAGTGCCATGTGATCCAGATGTGTATGACCTACGCAATACTATTATAGCTGAATCCCAGCTCATTCTCACAAGAGATCCATATCAAGCTATTGAATTGAACATACATTCAAGAGATATTAAAAAACCATCTCTGTAATCTGCACATTGATATGATTAACCATAACCCCAACCTTTATTTTTTGCTTGTTAACTATGTTATGTAAAGTGCATTTCAGCCACAAACAGAAATAAGGTTTGAAGATTTAAGGATTATATGTGAGACAAGTTAGGATTTTTTTTCTTTATAACTTTTGTAGTGTAATGTAAGAAATCATGAACATGGCAAATGTGTGGGTATAATATGCACATTCCACTGTGATACTTTTCAGGGCTAGCAATAGGAATAGATCCCTGAATGGGCCTGTTAGGTTCAGGCTCAAGGGCACAAAGATCAGAGGAATCTTTCAAGACAATTTACAACCCCATTTCCAAAAGAAGTTGGGATGTTGCGCAAAATGTAAATAAAAACAAAATGATGTGCAAATCATTTAAACCCTATATTTAATTGAAAATAGTACAAAGACAACATATCAAATGTTGAAACTGAGAAATTGTATTTTTTTTTTTTTAAATATATGCCTATTTAGAATTTGATGCCAACAACACATTCCAAAAAAGTTGGGACAGGGGCAACAGACGTCTGGTAAAGTTGTGTAATGCTAAAAAAAACACCTGGTGGTTCATTGACAACAGGTCAGTAATATGATTGGGTATAAAAGAGTATCCCAGAGAGGCTGAGTCTCTCAGAAGTAAAGATGGGGAGGGGTTCACCACTGTGAAAGACTGCATGATCAAATAGTGCAACAATTCAAAAATAACAATTCTCAATGTAAAATAGCAGAGACCTTTTGCTTTTCATCATTATGTTTACAGTACATAATAACATTAAAAGATTCAGAGAATCTGGAGAAATCTCTGTATGCAAGGGACAAGGCCAGAAGCCAGTATTTGCTGGCCATGATCTTTGGGCCCTCAGGCGGCACTGCATTAAAAACAGACATCATTCTCTAGTGGAAATCACTGCATGGGTTCAGACGCACTTCTGCAAACCACTGTGTATGAAAACAGTTCATTGCAGCATTCACAAATGCTAATTAAAACTTAAAAACGCAAAGAAGAAACCAGGATCCAGAAACACTGCCGCCTTCTCAAGCTGATTTAAAATGGACTGAAGTGAAGTGGAAAAGTGTCCTGTGGTCCGATGAATCAACATTTGAAATTCTTTTTTGGAAATCATGGACACTGTGTCCTCCGGGCTAAAGATCACTCAGCTTGTTATCAGTGCACAGTTCAAAAGCCAGCGTCCGTGAAGGTATGGAGGTGCATTAGTGCACATGGCATGGGTGACCTGCACATCTGTGAAGGCACCATTAATGCTGAACCAAATATACATGTTTTGGCAACATATGCTGCCATCCAGATGACGTCTTTTTCAGGGAAGGCCTTGATTATTTCAGCAAGACAGTGTCAAACCACATTCTGCATGTATTACAACAGCATGGCTCCATAGTAAAGAGTCTGGGTGCTAAGCTGGCCTGCCTGCAGTCCAGACCTGTCACCACTGATAACATTTGGCCCCGGACTGTTGAGCAGCTGAAATCCTATATCATAGAAAAATGGGAAAACATTTCACTTTCAGAGCTACAGCAGTGTCTCCTCATTTCCCAAACACTTACAGAGCGTTGTTAAAAGAAGAGGTGATGAAGCACAGTGTTAAACATGCCCCTGTCCCAACTTTTTGGAACGTGTTGTTGGCATCAAATTCAAAATGGTTTCAACATTTGATATGTTGTCTTTGTTGTATTTTCCTTGAAAAATATGGTTTACATGATTTGCATATCATTGCATTCTTTTTTTATTTACATTCTGCACAGTTTCTCAACCTTTTTGGAAATGGGGTTGTAGAACCAGTACTCCTGAACTGAGTTCCAGAGGATAAAACTGTAAGTTCTCACAGTCTAATCTTTTTGAGGTACTGTGATTTGTTTTATAATTGAGTGCAATGTGTTTGCACTATGTTTTAATGTGCAAAACGCTGATGTTCTGTAAATCATGTAAGATGATCTATGTACACAGTGACTTCTTATATAAATGTAGTCTATCGCAGTGTTTGTTTTTAGTCCTATAAATTCTATTATTTTGCTGTTGCTTGAAATGGACACTACTTTTACTCTGCAGCATGCGCACATCCTTTATAGTAAAACAAACTTAAATATGGCATTCATCTGTGAATGTTAGTGCATAAATTCTTTCCCTGAGTTTTATGTATTGGAAAAAAAATAAGACATAGAACATAAAATGTGCCATGCACATTTTGTTCCACAATATGTTAAATTTAGTAACAAAACAGTAATTTTGTATTAAAATGTGCAGAAGTGTGTTCTCTGTAGAGGATGTGTAAACTCATTTTCACTTAGAAAATCAACAACATGCAATTTGACCAGTAGTGCACACATTTTTGCATACAACTGTATGTATGTGTAGTGTTGAGAGAGGTCACACTCTGAACAGCCTGAAGTGGAAAATGAATTTAATTTCAATACATTAAAACAAAACAGCAAAATAGTACATTAAAAACTAGGGGTGGGGGGGGAAATAGATTCTTAGATGCATCGCAATGCGGACGTGGATGATTCCGAATCGATTCACAAATGTCAAAAAACGATTTTCTACATTTTAATTGATAATGTAATGTTGACTGAACACAAAAGGCGGAACTTTGCAAAGTGCGGAAGTGCAGCACCCGGACAGTCTGTGGTGTGCATACTACATTAAAAGCTAGTGCAGGGGTCACAACCCAAATGTTAATAAGTCATTTTGTCCTTTCAACAAAAATCAAACCACTTTGGGAGCCACAACATTTTGAGTCACTTTTACCATCTTGGCTGACTTCAGTTTCATGTGTTTTTTTAGTGTTTGAAAGTGTCTCATTGCAGATTATATGTATCAGGAAACCAGCTGGAGTGATTCTAAATGCAAATAAGTCTTTTTGTCTCCAAATTATTGATGTTCGTCTTAAATCTTCTGATCAAGCGATGTCAAAACTTCCACCCAACTCGGAAAGGATGAAGCGAACTACAAACTGTATCACAACATTTATTGCCAAGGATTTGCATCTGTAATGTGCGTGTGTATATATATATATATATATATATATATATATATATATATATATATATATATATATATATATATATATATATACACACATTTTCTAGAATTCTGACTTTTCTAGGGTTAAATGAGAATACCATTATTCTGTCTCATAGAAGACTATTGTATCTGATTGTCTGTCCTTAGGTTGCCAGCTGTTCATCATCATGATAAGTATACATTCATAAGGCGATTACTTTTGGGGAATGCAACATTGATGTCTGATTAGCCAAAGTGATTGTATGTTATAGTATGATAAAGAGAAATACCACCTTAGTGTTTGCAACATTATGAGCAGATATTGTAATGCATTATGATATCTAAACATATGATTCATATAATCTAGGGTTATAACATTTTATGCATGTAACTTTAACTACTGATTAGCACTGTAGGCCTAAGCCCGACATTATGAAGCATTATGCATGATTGTAAATCACATTACGTGTACAGGTTTCATGTGGTACATTTACCCCAGTACAATTCAATGTTCATTGCCAAAGGCAGCACAAGTAGTAATTCTAAATCATTCCCTCACTTTTGCTCATGCGTAAGAATAGATTTATTTTATTCTTACTGTGAGCACATTTGAATTAGCTGAACAAGTTTAAAAGATTTAAGGCTCTGCAGTGGGATTACATATTGAGCTGTTTAGACCACATAACATTCTTATTCATTACACAGTTAAATTAAAATAAATGTAATCATTTTATATGCATTTTATATCTTTCAATTTAACTGTAAGTGGCATGGTTAATATGATGCTGTTTCATAGACATATTGCACATCAATGGAAAAACTGCTATAAGCTTTCATAGCATATCCTATAATAAGCTATTAGAGCATAACTGTATGCTGTATTAGCATAAAGGCAGTTTAATCCTTGGTGATTTTATCCCTCATCAGAGCAAAACTAACTGGGGACAAATGAATGCAAATGACAGTAATTGTCATCTACTTTAGTGTAAACATTATCTGTTTCACTGGCAAAAATCCTAAATATATATTGTGAGTTCACTCAGTAGTAATCATCCACTTTCTGACTAAATCCACTTTCAACAGCTGCTTGGATGCTCTTCATCTCTTCTGGAGCAGCAGAGGGAAGAATGGCCAGCAACTCTTTGTCAATCTTCTCCAGTTTTGTGTCAATCTTCTTATTAAACTCAGCTTTGTTCTTAAGGACAAGGTGTAAAATGCCTTTCTGAGCTTCATCACAGGAGTTCTGTAACTGCAGACGCTCCTGTTCAAACTCTGGTTTTTCCTTGTCCATGGCCATAAGTTTCCCCAGTGAGCTGACACGATCCATGAGATACTTCTCAGACACTTCAGTGTAGGTTGCTGAGGTCATGTGGACGAGGCTGGCGATGTTAGTTGCTTGAAATGCTTGACTGTAGAGCAGATCTTTAGAGAAGAGCTTTGAGTTGTAGGAAAGTGACTGAGTCTTCTCAGATGTGGAGACAAAATCTTTGAGAGTTCTGCTCAGGCTGGTTTTCACAATGTTGGACACCATCTGAAAGAAGCGCACCATCTTCTCCCACTGCACCTTCACTCTCCCCATGGCATCCATCCCTCTGACCAGCATTTGTATGGTGGTGTTAAAGTCTATCTCTTTGACTTCACAGTTCCTCATGGTGATCAGGATTTCAGTCAGTTCCTTTTGGTTTTTCTCCATGTTCTCCACACTCTTCTCATAGAGCTCTCTGGTGTTGTTCAGTTGAGCTTGGCTCTGCTCTATGCAGAACCTGGCATTCTCTGTTGCTCTTTCTGAAGCACTTGTCTTCTCAGATTTACTTTCTTCATTAGATATCATAGGTGGTTTTTGAGTCAGAGAAGAGGATTTTGTGGCATCTTTGCTTCTGCAGTCAAAAGTGCAGACTGATTCAGTCAGTTTTCTGATTTTCTCAATTAACTCCTTTGTTTTAGCTTCCTCACATTTTCCGTCTGGTGCATAGGTTGCCAGTTCTCTGCAGACATTCATGTCCTCTTCACATAACTCTTGGGCGCACTGCTTTGGTTTGCATTCTGGTAATTTTTCTAAATTGCTTTTGATTCTTTGGAACTGCTCTTTAAAGAAATCTGTTTTTGCTGCTTTGTTCTTCTGATCATAGAGGCTCTTCCAGTCGATGTCATTCTCTTGCACATACACCTGAATATTCTCTGTGCACATCAGGATTTCTGCAGACTTGCTGTAGACATTTATCTCGTCAACCCTATCTGCAAAGGTGTCTTTATCCTGACCTTGAGTCCTGATGTAACCCAGTGTATTGGACATTCTTGTTAAAGCAAGTGGTTGGAGTGCTGGTTGAGTAATGAGAGCTATAGCTGTTAGTCCAGTCACAAGATCTGTGACATGTTCAGTCAGAGCTTCAACAAGATTCATGTCCACCATGTTCCATCCATCAGGGAGGGAATCTATTGCTTTTTTGCAGGTCTCTTGAGCTTCCTCCAATTCCTTTTCCAAAACTTTAACTGCCTTCTCAGAGTGTTTAATGGCTTCTTCTGATGACTGCTTCCTCAAATGACTCTCCTCCTGTTTCTTCTTTATTTCTTCCAGCTCTTTTCCATAAAAGTACTGGGCATTTATACAGGCTTCCAGCAGCTCGTGGATAATATTGATTACGTCAGTGAACCGCTTTTCTGTTGATTTGGCCAGTTCATAATTTAGAGTCTGTGTCTCCGTCTGACCCCTGCTCATCACCTCTGCACCAAAGTGTATTTCAAATCAGTGGGAAACACCGGCCACCATTTACTAAAGAGAAACCAAACTGGCTGCACGCACCAAATGCGCATTTGTATGTAACGTCTATTCATAAATTTAGAAATATTTTTCACAACAAAGTTCTACAGTTTTTCTACATTGATTTGAAGTAAGTCCACTTGATCCTGGTAAACATCAGCACAGTGGACTGTGCCCACCAGCTTCAAGTTTCTGGGGATTCATATCTCGAAGGACATCAGCTAGTCCACAGACTCAACTTCCCAAAGACAGAAGATGCAATGGCACAACCTCTACATGAAGAGCTAACTAGCCAATTGTCCAGAGTGCTTCAGAGCTCATACAGCAGTACTGGCTCTACCAAATAAACAACATTAGCAGCTGCATAGGGCCCCGAGGCCACCAAGAGGACCCCTTAACAACTGGACTTCACTTTTAGCCCCTGGATAACTAATAATTTAAAACAAGAATGGTGCTAAAATGATGTTGATTTAACATTGTTGATTAAACACGTTAGCAAAAGCATCATTAATGATTCCTGCATGTTTAACTGCCTCTGTCTATGGCAGATCGCTCACAAGCCCTGCTTTATTTTCTTGGCCCTCTAATCACTGCTTAGCAATTGTTTCTACCCACAATCAACTCTTCAGTTATCATGCCAGATTTTGAATGTAAAATTGTGACTGTTGCTGTGATCATCTGTTTGTGCAGAAATACTCCTGTAAAAAGTCTGTTGCACATTTATAGCCCTTCTGAAATTTTAGCTTCTATGCTAAAAATTGCTTTGCTGAACCATCCAAATTGTTGATCACTGGAAATGGTTAATAAAATAAAGCAATGTGCGAAATACGGCGGGGTTGTCCAGGTTATAGTCCAGGATTCGCTAATTAACTTGTTTGACCCCCTGCAAATAAAATTATTATGATATTGTGCTGTCCGTTAGGGAAATATATAAAGTGTGAGAGTGCTGTCTTCCACCACTCTCATTTTTCTCATCTGAACAAATAAAAGAGTTCAAGCAACCAAGAAAAACACAATGACCAGTGACAATAAGCAGTTTTCACATTAAATTAAAAAGTAACAACTGTATGTTTCTCAGGTTAATTAAAAATATCAGAGGATACCTGGAAACAACCCTACAATGAACTGGGCTGAGTCCTGGATCTGTACATGCCCAGCCAACGCCCCTGAGTGACTCTACATTTTCCTACTCTTTGCCGGTCACTGAACTGTCTTGACTGTAGTTTGGGCTGCTGTCCAAGGTACTGACGGCATAACTGCAGCTGAGTGAGTCAGGCATCACTGAGGTTCATAATACTGCCAGTGTTAATACTAATAAAGCTTTATAGAAACAGCTCACTTTGTGAGATTAACATGCATATGAATGTATTTGTCCATTGATTCTACGTGTGTCTTTCATATGAAACCTGAAAAATTTAACATGTATTCTGTTTGATCCATTCAGCTTTTGCAGGCTGCGAGTCAGTGGGTCTTTCTCAGGCCTTCTATCAAGTAGGTCATTACAATCCTACAGTGATCTGGGCTGATCTTTACATGCCAATGCCCCTGAGTGACTCTACATTTTTCTCCTCTCTGCCAGTCATGGAACTGTCTTTTCTGTAGGTTTGGCTGCAGTCCAAGGTGCATGACTGCAGGGTAACTGCAGCTGAGTACATCAGGCATCACTGCATTTAATAATAATGCCAATATTAATTCTAATCAAGTCTTTAACAGTTCCCTGTGAGATTTGCATGCATGTGAAGGTTAAGAGCATTTTTTTGAAAATGACCAGTTTCGTTTGTTTATTGATTGAGGTCTGAGAGAACAGGGTGGAGACAAGGTTCATCATTACAACGAGAATGGGGAAATGGAACCGAAATATACCGAAATATACATACAGTGCTGCTGTAAAAAAAAGTATTTGCCCTATTCCTGATTTTGTTCTATTACTGCATATCTGTCACAATTAATGCTTTTAGATCTCACACAATTCTTTTTTTCAATCATTTAGGGTACTGAATTATCTAATACAATCACCCTTGTGAAAAGTTACAGCACTCTTAAAATTACAGTTGTTCTTGTTTGTTTCAACCTTTTATCCATTCAGAAGCAAAACACATGATACTAAACAGAACCTTGTGGGCCAAACCAGTGCACTTTATTTCTAACATTGTCTAACCCCCACAAAACACCTTACATACCACACAAAGGCAAACTTTTCTGTTAAAAAGAGAGAGTAAACTTAATTAATCAGAAATACTGCTGTACCTAATATACTCTTATCAGTACCACATGCACTACTATACAACTACATCGTCAGTGTCACTGCTGAGAATTGTCATATGGTGGTCCATTTCCACTGATGGATGGAGGAGAAAAGGATAAACAGATGGGCTACAGTCTGCACATGTTTATCTACATAATGTACATATGCAGTAAGTGTAATTGATAGAATCAACAATGTAGTTGTATTTAATAAATTTGCAACTCAGTTAAGCCAATCATGGTTTATCCCTGACAGAAACCGGGAGATACTGCTGCATCTACAGTAAGTTGGAACACTGCAGCATAGATAAGTCTGTCCAATGTGTAAATCATCTTCATACGTTGGCACATTCTATGCTTACAGGTAGGAACCAATGGCAAATGATTTAACAGTTTTTGCAGTTTTGTGCTGAAGGGTTTTTATACTTATGAGAGTCATTTCATTACATATACAACAAATCACTTACAGTAAAGGGAGTGACACCTTCCAACTTTCACTTTCTGTTACGAGAGGGGAGGTCCTTCAACCGATGGGTTATAAACGCACTGCAGTGTTCAGCTGTTTTGATCGAAGAGGCTCTCTCAGCATCTCTCAGCACATCTAAATCTTCAAGGTATGGCATTATGAATATGATGCACCATTTTATTCAGTGCATGTATTTTGATATTTTAAAGGCAACATACTAAACTAGTCTTTGACAAACAAAAATGTGTGTATAACTGTAGTGTAGTCTAATGAAAGTGTAAAGAAATCATGCAATGATGAGTTAAAATGGCATAAAAATGGCAATTCTCAAGACATCTTAACCTAAAAAGCATAAATCTAATAAACTGCTGGTCATTGCTTTTTACCGATTTCAAAAACTTGCCAGTTAAAGCTGGACATTAAGTAAAACTTGTTCTTTAAAAAGCTGAAAACACAAAGACCTTAACAAGTAAATATGATATCATTTTTTCAGCCTACCCTTTGTGTGTATATATATATATATATATATATATATATATATATATATATATATATTACATTTCTTCTGACTGTATTTCAGGATGGTTTTATCTAGCTTAATGACTGCAATACCTGAGCTACTTGTCTCCTGAAAGTGATCTGAAAAAGATCAAATTTTCCATTTTGGTTCAGTCACTGGTTCCAAAATTTGCAGTTATGTTAAAGAAACACAAAAATCATACATTTGCAGAGATGTTAAAAAAGGGGAAAAAAGGCAAAAAGAATAGAAATTTACTAGGTGGATGAGGACTGTGATTTAGAACTCCAGTACATACTAGTAGCTAAAAATACTCTGCTTTTTGGTCTTGAGATTTCTCTTTAGTTTTGAGGGTTTTGTTTTATTTGATTTATGTGAAATAGCCAAACCACAGTCCACTCACTGGGCTTTGTGAATTAGCATCAACCAATAATAATAAATAAAACCTTGCTTAATATCTGCTTCTTTAGGATTGGTTTACCAGTCTGAGCTTAACCACTCACATCGCTGACGCTCGGCCAAAAATACATTCAGATCCATAAGCCAAAATCAGACTCCTATCTTTACTTTTGTTTTTAATTTTACAGCAAATGAAACGAATGCAAATGAGGGTCATTGCTGAGTGGATTGTTTGGCTGTGTTACTGTTTTATCCACATTATGCAGAAAGTTAACTTTTAAACAGACAAAGGAAGCAAACCAAACTCAGGACCAGCAGAGAGAGCTAGTATGGCTTCAGCATTGCACTGAGTGCAGCAGCTTTTGGTCAAATTTCTCTCATTTTGATGTTATTACTGTATGAAAAGGTTGAATGCTGGGCTATTGGCTGTGTTTGAAATAGCCTACTACATACTGATTGCACACTGATTGTGCCCAGAAGTAGTAAGCAGTATGCAGTATGTGATCAACATGACTTTATCTAGTACACCAAAGATACCTGGATAATGTACTAATCCGGCAACTGTTCTAGCAGAACCATGCTGTGTTCAAAATGACTCCCTATACTATCGATAAACAGTGCACAATTGTGTCAGGCATTTTGCTCTTTGTAGTTGTTTGTAGTTTATCTCAATGATAAACTTAATCCCTATTAGGTCACTATCGAATACCCATAATGCAAAGTATAGCTCCTGTGTTGCTGCACAGTTTACCCTCTATCTCATTCATAAATGGAAAGGGATCAGCACAGGACCACTGTCCACAAAATGTTGGCAGTGGCACTAAATTGTGCTTGGTGCTGTAATGAGTATATTAGGAGTAGCAGCATTGTTGGGATGATGAATCAGTTGTGCTAGATAGGGGAAAAACAAAACTGCAAGTGTTTGATCAGGACTGACTTTGGGAGCCCCTGCTCCAGCATACTCCTGACTGGATATTTTTGGGTGTGGACCACTCTCATCCTAGCAGGGTGACACCACCAAACAATATCCAGATGAGAGAGGTTCTGTGGTCAGAAATTGACCATTGATGAAGGGCTACAGAACATAAATTGTGCAATGGAAGATGGACTATAGCTAGCCTTTCTCAAGTATTGACATTTTTTCTTTTACACCACCCAAAATATCCAGAAACCAACCACTGATGAAAGATAGTATGGCTAACAAACTGCACAGCAACAGAGATGTTATAGTCTAACTGTGCATCAGCAAGGTGTTTCCAATAAAGTGGCTGGTGAATGTACATCACTGGTAACATGTACTTCTCAACCTCTTCTCAGTCAGATTGTTATTAT